CAAATGATTGCCTTTCGCAACGCGATTCTGACTTTCACAACGCGATTCTGACTTTCGCAACGAGATAATACAGAATCGCAATGCGAGTTTCAAAGTTCGCAAAAGGTTTTAGTTTCACAAGCCAAATTTTTTGTGTATATATCTACACAGCAGCAACAACTCATAACCTAAATCCCTAAATCGTAACTCATTCCATCTCCATCTATCACTCTCTCCGGCAACATCCGTTCCTATATCTAACGACATCCTTCCCCATCCGACAACAGGTCTTAGTTTCGCATCTCGTTTGTTTAGTAAATTAATTTACAACCATGAAATCATCTAATATTGATCATGTTTGGATAGATTTGTGTTTTGGAGGGTCATGGGAGAATGTTCATGGTGTTTTACAATATATGCCTTTACCCATGAATCTTCAACTAAAACTGTCATTAAAGAAGTTAACTTATGAAACTCTAATGTTACGTGTTTCAAAGAAATTGAATTTAGAGCCCCTAAGTGGATTTAGGCTATCTTATCAGAGAAATGGTAAAGTTTATTTGTTAACCGACAATGAAGATGTTGAACGATTCATTGCTTACATTAATGTTTCAAGTGATGATGTTACATTGTATGTTGTTGAACCTAGAAGTAGTATTGTTGGGTCAGTAGCGGGTAGTAATCAACTAAGTGGGTCTCAAAACCCACAACCTTTCTCTAATCCAAATCCAAATCAACTTTCAGCACCAAATTCCGGTTTTCGTATTGACCAATTAGACGATGATAAGCCAAGAGAAAAAATTGTGAGTACTAGTCAGTATTCGAAATTTGATCTTGGTCAATACTCGGACTTTGATATTGGTCAATACTCGGATTTTGATGATGTTTCAGAAGAAGAAACAGACCCTGCATGTAATGATTTTGATATTGGTCAATACCCGAATTTTGATGATGAAACACCCGTTGCCGAGGAAGATGTTGTTGATGATAATGAGGAGGAAGTTACGACTGTGAATGAACATGTTGAACATCCATTCTGTAATTCATATAATCCTGAAGAAGAAAAAGAGAAGAAGAAAAAGTCCCCGAAGAAAAGAAAATGCCACGGGAGTATAACTGGAATATGCCAGAATTACTTCAGCTACCGGAAGAAGAGTTGGCAAAGAAAGCAGTTGATTGTTACACAAAAGTTATTCGTATCAAGAAAGATGATTGTTTTGATACAAAGGAAGACTTGAAGATAGCTTTGTATACGAAATGTGTGGAAGATGGCTATCAACTAAAAGTTAACAAATCAAGCAAAGATCATTTCGAAACAAGGTGTATAATTGACAAAAACTGTACGTGGCGTATGATTGCAAAGAGGATAAAAGATTGCGAAATGTTTCAAGTTAGGACTTTTATTGATAAACATACATGTTCAAGAACCCAAGTTTTTCCTAACCATAGACAGGCAAACAAAAAAGGTTTTGGGTGGTTTTCTGGCTGAGTTAATGTTTTTGAATGGCAGGGTATATCGGGGACATGAAATTATGACTGACATGAATGCTCGGTTCAAGATTAGTATATCATATTCTCAAGCTTGGAGAGCCAAATGTTATGCCTTGGAATTGTTGAGGGGGTCGCCAGAAGCATCGTTTGCCCAACTGCCGACTTATTGTCACAATTTAAAGCTGAAAAATCCTGGGTCGGTAACTCATATCAAAACAGATAGAGATGGATGCTTTGAGTTGCTGTTTATCGCCATTGGTGCTGCGGTTAGTAAATCAATATAATTCTGTTGACTCATTTCTGTTAGTTACATGCATTTCACATTTAAATGATTATATTTCTTGTGTATATTATTTTGTAGATTCGTTCGTTATTACTTGCATGCGCCCAGTTATTATAGTTGACGGAGCACATTTGAAAGGTCGATACCTTGGAGTAAACTTATTAGCAGTAGCCATGGATGCTAACAATGGGATATTGCCAATAGCTTACGGGGTTGGCAAATCTGAAACCTCTGATTCATAGACATGGTTTATGGGGTATCTTAGGGATTGCATAGGTCCTATTAGCAATCTGACAATCATATCCGATAGGGCAAACTCAATTGACAACGCTGTTAGAAGGTGTTTCCCAGATGCTTTTCATGGACTTTGTGGTGTTCATTTGTATAGAAATCTAAAATCAAGGTCTGCTGGTATAAAAAAGCACAAATGGACATACTGGAAGGCTGTAAAGGCTTATCGGGAAGTGGATTTCAATAAGCATATAAACTGTTTAAGACGTGTTTTGCCTCAGTGTGCTCAAACACTAGAAGATGTCGGGTTTGAAAGATGGTCAAGAGTACATGAACTTGGAGCAAGATATGGTTTCATGACGTCTAATAGTGCAGAATCAATCAACGCTCTAAGTCGTCATTCCCGGAAATTACCCATTACTATGTTAATAGAGTTTTTTCGAGCCTCTATTCAACAGTGGTACTACAAGAAAAGAAACCATGCAAGTATTATTTCTTTGAATTCGTAACTTATCATATATTTTACTAAGTATTATTTATTTAAATTTACAGGAACATTGGAACATCGTGTTACACCATGGACTGAAAAAAAGATAACGAAACGTGTTGTGAAGTCAACGTCATGGAGAGTTGAACCATGTTCAAACACTTTGTTTGAAGTACTGGATAATAACTTAAATGGCTTGTCGATCTAAATGCAAGGACGTGTAGTTGTATGAAATGGCAAACATCTGGTTATCCGTGTGGCCATGTTATAAAAGTTGCTCTTCATCTAAACCGAGATGATTCAAGCACATACGCTATGGATTGCTACACTACAGAAGTATATCGACAGACTTATGCTGAGATTGTCTACCCTATTCCACATCCTTCTGAGTGGGACATACCAGATGACTTACAAACAGTTTTGCCACCAGCCATGGACAGAAGGCTACCTGGCCGACCAAAAAGTCACGATCGTATACCGTCTAAGGGTGAAGAGAAGAAGAGATCGACATGTAGTCGGTGCAAGGAAAGTGGTCATACAAGGTTGACATGTGGATCACCAGTGCCATCACAATCATCTTTTCCTCTACCAAAATATGGATCATCATCAAAATCCAAAGCTCATATGGTGTCAAGAAAAAGGCAATCAAATTCGCAATCATCTTTAAAATCCCAATCACAACTGGCTTCACCTTTTGGGACTGTTAACTTAGGTGATTTTTAAATGCAAACGTTGTATTATGTAGATTTTATGTGTGAACTTTTAACATTTTCAGTTAGGCATGTATTAGTAACTTGAGTTTGAAAATTGCTATGATCTGTTCAGTTGTTATCACTTAATAGGCAATCATCTTAATGTCTATCGCAACGCGGAAATTACTATCGCAATGCGAAATGAAAATCGCAACGAGAGAATCACAATGCGAAATGAAAATCGCAACGAGGGAATCGCAATGCGAAATGAAAATCGCAACGCGAATTGAAAATCGCAACGAGAGAATCGCAACGCGAAATGAAAATCGCAATGCGATTTTGGTTTCGCGTTGCATTTTTTATTTCGCGTTGCGATTCTCTCGTTGCGATAGTTATTTCCGCGTTGCGATTTTCATTCTCGAAACTATTCTTCTTCTGCATTACTTCAACCAAAAGACAAAACAAAGACAAATACTAACTTCACAGGCTAAACAGTTTAGCAGTATTGGCAGCAATCGAATGAATTTAATAAGAAATCTAAGTGAAATGGTTAATCTATTATTGAAATTACCAGTAAACTTATCATCAATCTCAATATGAAAAACCTAAAATAATGCAAAAATTTCAAAATAAAAATAAAAAAAACTAACCCTCGGAGGTTGATTTTCCATTTCTGAATGATTGTGAGAGATTTTTGACTGTGAATGGTTGTGAGGGATTTCGCCGACGATGGGGACGGAAATCTTCGGAGATGGGGACGGATTTCGCCGTAGAGAGTGAGAGATGGAGATGGTACTGAGTGTTGTGATTTTGGGTTTGAGGTTATGAGTTGCGATTACTATGGACGGTTCAGTTTCCGATTTATTAAGAAAAAATTCGTGTTTGGAATTTGAAAAAAAAAATACGCGTTAATACGAATGGCGCTATGTAAATCGCGTTGCGAAAGTCAGAATCGCGTTGCGAAAGTCAGTATCTCGTTGCGATTTTGTATTATCGCATTGCGATAGTAAGTATCGCATTGCGATAGTCAGTATTGCATTGCGATTTTCCCAATTCGCGTTGCGATTTACTTATTCGCATTGCTAATTGGGAAAATCGCAACGACACTGTAGACCATCGCAACGCGATTTCCAACTATCGCAACGCGAAATGCAACGCGAATTTGCGATAATGAAGATCGCGTTGCGAATTAGCGATCGCATTGCGATTTTGTTGGTCATTTTGGCAAATCCGGAAAAAGTTGGTTAAAATCGTATATTATAAGGCATTTTTGGTCACTGAGGCGATTTTCTCAAAAAAATATCATATCTCAATTAACATGTTAACAACCAGCTCAGACTGTTGTCAATTTTTTAACAAAAAATGACGAGTTTGGAACACACTAAATAGTCAGTTGACCATTTTGTAATATTTAATAGTCGAGAAACTCAATAAAATAACACATTGTAGACGAATGATCATTTTGTAACTTTTAATAGTCAGAGACTTAACAAAGTAACACTCTATAGTCAAATAATCATTTTATAACTTTTAATAGCCGATAGACTTAACAAAATACTACCCTATAGTTGAGGTACTATTTTGTACTTTACCCTATTAAGAGCATCATTCATTCTAAAATTAATTACTTAAAAGATTTAGATAATTAACAAACGTGTGTTAAACAGTACTCTCCACCGGTTCCCGTTGCCGCCTTTTTAGTATACGTCACTTCTGTTTAAAAAACAAAATCGTTACCTTTGACAACCCAAAATTCTTCTCTGCTAAGAAATCAAATCTCCATATATATATATATATATATGATTATTTAAATTTATATTTCAATTTCTTTGATCTTAAATTTGGATTTTATTTCCATTCCAAATTTCCGGGAAACAGTTTTTCCTGGGAAAACAGAAGGAAATAAAATCCGGTTCGGATTTTCCATCGGACCAAACAGAGGCATTTTTGAATGGGGCAACAACAATCGAAAGACGAATTGCTATACAATCAAGTGAATTACGGTAACATTGAAGGGATTAAATCTCTTTTCCATGAAGGCGCCGGCCTCGAGGTATCAAATAAGTGATCCTTTTCCCTCTCGTTTAATCACTTTGATCGAACAATTAATCTTATTTCTTTTCTTCTTTTTCTGGTTGTGGATTGACAGTGGATTGATAAAGAAGGAAGAACGCCGTTGATATTGGCTTGTTTGAATCCATCGTTTTTTGATGTAGCCCAAACTTTGATCGAACTCGGTGCCAATATTAACGCTTATCGTCCAGGTTTCGCTTTTATTGATTTATTTTTTATTTATTATGAAGCTGAATGTTCATTAGCTGGGAACTTCCACTCATAAAAGCAGAAATGTATGAATTTGGAGGAAGTTTTTTTGTTTAATTTCCCTTTTTCACCTGGTAATTTCTCTTTTCCATTAATGATATTGGTTTAAGAAGGAAGAAATTAACAGTTTTCAAACTAAATAAGCTTTGGGGAACTTTGTTAAAGTAAATAGTTTATGAACTGATTTTAGTTTTGGGATTTTAATCTGTGTTTAGGTCACCTTGGTGGGACTCCATTGCACCACGCAGCAAAGAGGGGCCTTCTAAGTACAGTCAAATTACTTCTTTCCCGTGGAGGTTGTTTGTTTCATCTATTTCGTTAATTCGGTGTGAAAACCATCCACTTGAACTGTGTAGAGTTGTCTTATGAGTGACTGGTTCTAAATTTTCAGCAAATCCATTGGTTATTAATGATGATGGTCAAACGCCTCTCGATGTTGCTTGGGTGAAAGGAAATGTCAATGTTGTGCGAGCCATCGAGGTAAAGATGGGAAGTTTATTTTGACATTCTCTGTATTTTGTAATAACCTTCCGACAACTTCGAAACTTAGTTTTAAAAAACGTGCCTAGACGCGCTTAAAACGTCACATAGACGCATGAAAACATCTCCAACAGCACATAGCGCTTAAAATGAGTCTTGCTTACGAAAGGCGTACGTCTTCAGCCAGTGTCTAGGCTCCAGAGATCCTTTATGTTTCGATGTGTCTTTAAAAACTAAGCTTCGAAATGAAATTTATCTTTATTCTTTTGATGTTGTGCAGAAGCACATATGTTTATTCTCTGGTTGGATGCGAGAGTTTTCCGGGTCGGGATTCATCAAAATGTTTGTTCCTCAACTGGTTTCAAGAAAAGTGTGGGTATTAGTATTTAGAATTCTCTCTCTTTATCTCGGTTGTTTTTTGCTTGTTAATATAATCCTTAATTTGCTATCAATCAGTAGCATTTTCTTGTTTTGAAACAAATTGTGTTATCTTCTCCTTTATGCATTGCTCGCAGTTGGGTTGTTGTTCTACCAACTGGTTCGCGTAATCATACAAGGCCTCTCAAGTTGGGGATGGCTATGTACTCCAGTTTGAAGGTATTGCAATTAATCCACAAGCTTGTCTTAAACTGTCCTGAATCTGATCATCATATTAGTTGCAGCTTTCTTAAATACTTATGATGCTATTATGTGTACAAGTAATGAGTTTAATTACTATTTATTAGTAATGGTATTAGATATAAAAACTGCATATAGGCTCCAAGCTGCTTTAATTGTTCAATCTACTAAGCTCAATGCGTTATTACATAACTGATATAAGCAAAATTCAGATACTTCTTGATTTGTAGATCACAAACATGAAAAGAGAAAGAAGCAGATAGAATTATATTCTGAGTATGCGAAGTCTATATTATCGGTTGTTAAACTCAAACAAGGATTCTTAAGGAAGCTCTGGAATTATATTTCCCAACCTTTTCTAGGAATAGCTTGTTCTTGATTACTTCAACCATCGTTTACTCTTTGAATAATACTTTAAGATAATAAATCGTCTCTGTTGTTTGTTTTTTTGTTTCTGTTTCATACCATTAAACTTTGCTTACCCTTAAGTGATTTTCCACCACTTATTTGTGTAATTGGAGAAATAACAGGATGCTCAACCACGCTCAGTGATTCCATTGTGGAAAGCTAATTTAGAGGAACCAAAGCTGAACCAGCCTGATCCTTCAGCGATAATTGTCGATAACTCAAGCAGTAATTTCTGTGACCAATATTATTAGTTCTCAATCTTTCCTGGCTATGTTATGGAATTTGGAATCAGATTGATAGCTTAGTTGCCATAATTTGTTTATCTTCATGAATGGCCCTCAAGAAGTGGGAGGCAGAGGTGAAGTACTTACACCTCCCGAGAGGCAATGTGTAAGCATGGTATTTATCAGTTTTTTAGAGAACCCCTGAATTTGACTGAAGTTTCATGTAATCATGAAAAGAAAAAAAAACTAGAAGTTTTCAATATTGGAAATCGTCAGGACTCTAAATTGCAGCCTCCCGGTTCTTCAGATCACTAGGTTTAGTTTCCCGTAGTGACTGCATCACCAATAATCATGTGGAAACCGGTTATTAACTTTGATGCTTGGATAATACTTTCATTTGTTTCGGTTTTAGGACGATATATGTGTGTTTTTTACATTGCAATTCACGTCGACATGGTTTCATTCTTTTCCAGAAACACGAATTAAACTTGCGCCTGGTAAAGAAAATGACATGCAGCAGCTTCAGTGGTTTTGTGATGCATGTAAAGGAATTCCACAGGTATTTTTCATCAAATTTCCCTTTAGAGATCTTCCTGTTAATGTAGTTTAGTGATAGGTACACCTTTACAAGTACGGAACTATTTTGTTCATAACTCTTTTCCAGTTTCCAGTAAATTCTTATGTCGGATCTCCATTTTATTTATGGCATTTGAATATGTAGGCAAGGATTCCTGCATTTCTGCATAATTCTCAGCCTCCGGATGCTCCAGAAACTGCACCACCGGATACAGAGGAGTTCGAATTAGCAATGGCGATCAATGCCTCTATCCAGTCAGCTATTGCAGAGACATCTGATGTTGATTTGCACTCTTGCAATGAAGCTAGTGCATCTGCTGGTTGGGATAGCTCTGCAAGCACTAGTTGTCACAGCGGTTCAGTAGCACCAACGGCATTTCCACCTTCAAAAGCAAGTATCAGTGAATGGACTTTGATCGAAGCCAACTCTGGTAGCAGTTCAACCGAGCACACTGAGATCCATACGACAATGCAAACCTCAGATTCTGTCCCATCAGCTCCACCAGCACCCGCCATAGATGAGATTGTAGAAGATGGTCCGGTTCAATACCCGTCGATTGATTCCACCGCTGTCGATATTTCTTGCACAACAGGAGAAAGCTATCCTCCTAGTGCTGCTCAAACAAAACGAGACGAAGGTCCGTGTACAATATGTTTGGATGCTCCATCAGAAGCCGCCTGCGTTCCTTGCGGCCATGTCGCTGGATGTATGTCATGTTTGAACGAGATCGAAGCCAAGAAATGGGGTTGCCCCGTCTGTCGTGCCGAGATTCAGCAGGTTATAAAGCTTTATCGTGTTTGAATTTCGCATCCGAATCATGGTTATATGTACATGTTGTAATGGTTTCTGCACATGGAACAAGTTTGGTTCTTGTTTTGAGCTCAAGCTATTAGCGTTTGGGTAAAATACAAATTTGGTAATTAAACTTTACTCTCTCTCCTATTTCACTCATTGTACTTTAAATCTTTTCAATTTCTTCACTAAATTTTATACATTGGGTTTTTTCGTCACTCGAACCGTTTTCTCACTAAATACATTATAAATGGATTGTTATATAGATGCAAAACGACGTTTTTGTGAAAATTTTATTTTTTTTAAACGATGTCCTTTTAACACCGTTAACTATTTAACGACAGAATGATAAAAAAATTCAATGTATTAAGTTCATTGAGAAATTTGAAAACTTTTAAAGTTCAATGAGCAAAATAGGAGAAAGAGTAAAATTCAGTGATGAAATTTGTAATTTACCCTTAGCGTTTTTAATTTATATTTAACCAATTTTACTTGAAAAAAGTTATTTCATGTGTAAATTTTGTAAACTAAATATTTGTTTAAATAGATATAATTTTCAAATAATACTTCACTCTTAAATATTTATCATTAAAAAATCCTTATCCATATGCCTTGATTTATTAGAAAAATATAAAAAGAGTAAATATTCTAAACATAAAATCTAAAACTCTTAACCCTAAATAATATATGTAACATTAAAATATATATATTTGTACAAATATACCTTTCGTATATGAAAAAAATCTATACATTGCGTAAAATTTAAACATTGCAGTTTTACTTATTTGAATGCCGTTAATTTATTTAAAATTTATAATTTAGAGATTATAATCTAAGGTATAAAATTAAAATTAAAATAAAAAAATAGGGAGTCTAAGGGATTGTTTGATAAAGTAAAATGATTAAGCGTTAAATGATTCAAAGGCTCTGTATGAATTGGTTTTGAATGTGACATGTTGTTTGATAATGGTTCTAAATGTACAATCTGAATTATGAATATTTTCATTTTTACCTTCATAATGATTTATTATATTATAAGATATGATTGTTTAATAAGACAACATGTGAAAACATAGGTATTATGGTAAAATACCGGGTGTTTAATGATTCATTTAGCAGTGATTTGTTGTTTCATTTAGCATAGTCTTCATTCAAAGGTGAAAATCAAACACACTGAATGCTGAACGATTTCGCATTCAGCGTTGAACGGTTCCGCATTCAGCGTTGAACGGTTCCGCATTCAGCGTTGAACGGTTCCGCATTCAGCGTTGAACGGTTTCGCATTCAGCGTTGAACGGTTCCGCATTCAGCAGTAAACAAACAATCCCTAAATTTTATACCAACATTGCAAGAATCGAGTTGAATAATTAATTTAACAAGTAATTCGACTTCAAACTAAGTTTCAATAGGTTGCACAAACGATTTCAATGGTTAATAGATATGTTGTTATCTTTTAGGTTCTGAGTTCGATCACCGTATATGCAGGAGATGAGCATAAATTGTCTATCTTCGTTAAATTCACCCCATATTTATAAAACAATAAATAAATTACAATGGTACAATTTGAACTTGGGTCCTTGAAAATTTCAAGACTTCAATTAAAACCTCATTAGCATCACTTAAAACATGTTAAATAAATTAAAAAAAACATATGTAATAAAACCTAATATATATATATATATATATATCATTAACATACAAATTTAATATCCGTTAAGTATAAACTTACAAATTTATATGCATATCATTAACAAATGCAATATAATCTTAAAATTTAAAAGTTCTATCTTTCATCAGTTGATTTAACGGGTAAGCCATTAAATTATTTTAATAAAATTAAATATTTGAATTTTAATATTATAAATAGATAAAACTAGATTGAGATACCGTTCAATAATAATTTTTTTGTAATATTTGATCTTAAATAGTCAACTAATAAGTAAAATAAGATATAATGTCAATATATGTGTTGTATCTTTTTTGAATCTCCTTCGGATAACAAAATCCCGAAAAACTTCTCGGCAATAAAAGCTTCAAAAGAACATCTTTGGAAGAAGGATTTTAAACACTTGAGAGGCTGAGACCCTTGAAAAGTTGCAACCTCGTGGCACAACCTTTGACAATTTCATGTAACTCATCAAAACTAAATATATTGTCAGTTGATCATACCTACTGAGCCTATCAACCTACGAGTAGTTAAAATGACTATACATCTGACATAAACATTAAATGTCGCTGTAAAATTTTTTGCATGACTGAAAGAGATTAAAATCGCTCTCCCTATTTATTCTCCCCTTTTCCTCTTAATAGGACTTTAACATCAATCAATCGTCGTTAAATCATTAATTATTATTTTGTATTTAAATTAAAAATGGTGAATAGTGAACAACCATTTTGTTCCCATCAACTATATATATGACTGAAAAAGGCAATGTAAATTGATATGAAGTTGACCTCATTCCCACACAGGTATATGAAAGGGTTTTGCAAAGCCCTTGTTCCACACTTTGTCGGCGGCCATACTTTAACCCTTTATATGAACACCGCCATGGCGGCAAAGCTCCTTTGGAACACATCCTTGTCATGTCTTTTTTCCTTTTCTTTTTTTCATAACCATTTTTAAAAAATTTATATTTAAAAAACAATTATAACTTTATTTGAAAAAAATTGAGATTTTGAATCAGTTTGAATTATTTTAAATTGTAACCATCATCGACCTTTGGGTTAGGCAGTTCGAATACCTAAAAATATCTTTTTAAAAGAATTTAAGAAAAAATTATTTTAAAGACAAAAACTTGCATGTTTTACCAAAAATGTATTTTTAAGGGTTCGAGAATCAATTACTCGTGGGGAAGAATAAGAACCCGCATAACGCCAAAAAATTAGTACTTATTCGCTTACACATTATCGTAAATGGTGGACATCACAAATTTGAATCAATATTTAAAGTACATTCCTTTTATTGAACGAAATAATTTATTCCAAATTAATTATTAGAGAAAATTCTTTGACTTAAAGAAATCTCGAAATTTGTAATCCTCCATCGGGAAAACTATATCACCTATTTCTTATATGTAAAATAATATTCTCTCTTTGAATTATTTAAAATATTAAATTAATATCGAAATTTGCATGAAATATTTATGATTTTTTTGAAAACATACTGTAGATACCCGTTTTTGACCGGGCTTAAAAATATTAAAAATATTAATTATATTATTATTATTATTATTATTATTATTATTAATACAAATTACATTATTTATGTAGGTCTAAAGTTCAAGCCCACTGCAAAAAAGAATTCCCGGAGCCCAATGCAAGCCCAATAAAAATCCAGCAGCCCAAAAATAAAGCAGTTTAAGCATAAGAGATGTTCCCATCCATGTGTATGAGTAGCAACCAATCACGCAAATATCTCAAGCCATCGCCACTGTTGGAGCTAATCTGCACAAAGTCAATAATACACCGAATCAAGGAAAAATTAATTAGCCACCAAAATTTACATAAAAGTCAATACTTGTTCAACCAAATATCACCAAACGCAGAGAAAATCAACATGCAGACAAAGTATTCGGTAAAGAAAGTATTGATAAAATGGAGAGGGGCTCGGTTTTTCAAAGGGGGAAGATGGAAAACACTGGAGGGAACAGTGACATAAAAAGGGGCAGAAACGACGAAAAAAAGAAAAACGGAAAAAACAGTGGGGAAGGGGATTATTCTTTCTCTTGTATTCAAGGATCAAGCAGTGAAATTGGGGGTTTCCCCATCGTTTTTGAAGTCAATAAATTTCAGTTTTAAGGTATTCCTTAAATTTCTTTTAATGTTTATATGGCGTTATAGTGTAGTGTGTGTTTATTTCTAAATTAATAAAACTGGAAAAGAGAGTCTTCCCTTTCGTTATTTTTGACAGAGAGCTATACGAAGCGTTTTCTATTTTTTTTCCAGAAATCAAGCATTTTTTTTCATTTCGAAAGTATTAAGCATTAACTAAACTAATAGATTAGAAGGTAATTTTTTTTAGTCGGGGTTTGAAACAAATAAAAAAATAAATAAAGAAAAAGTGAAGAGATTCGATGTTGTTACCTGGGTTCATCATCCAAGTTTTCTTTTCACCAAATTAGGAACCGAGAACAAGGGTTGACATCGTCCAAGCCTTAGGAGTCTTAGGCTAGCAGTGTTGGCTTTCATAAGTTTAGATCAAAGTAAATAAAAAAGGGTTAGAATTAGTGACTTACCCGATTGATTTTTGAGGCGTCGGAGCAAATAAGGCCAGTAGCGTTTGGTGGCTAGCTGATGGTAATGGAATTTTTGTAAAGGTTTCTGTTGACGGCGTGTTGACCATGAAAAATCTTGGTCTCAGATGTGTACAGAATGAAGAGGGAAGCAACGAGAGAGTGGGGGAAGGGATAACGGCACATGGTTTTGGTTTTGTTTTAAAGGAAAGTAAAAACATATTGAATAAATTAGGTTTAGTTTTGTTTTTAACTTTATATATTATATATATTATAAAAGCAAAACACGTTTGACATCCAAACACATGCCTTTTAGTGGGTTAATTTACAAGTGTTTTATAAATGGGATAATAGCGTGTAAAATCTTTTAGTTTTAGACATGTTATGTTTTAGTCCTTCAATTGAATCTTTCATGTTTTTATTTTGGTATTCATATTTTAAGTGTTTTTCTTTCTAGTCTTAAGTTTATGGTTTTGTTTATTTATGATTGTTCTTATATTTGGTCTGTAATTTGTTACTTTATTATTTAATTATATAATATGTTTAATTAAGGTACTATTCAATTTACATTTTGGTAGTTTAATTTCATTATTTGTTATTTTCATCCTTTTTGGCAATATTAAATTTAAGATTAGACTTTTGGCAGTACATTTAATTTTATTTTTAAGTTGTGACATTTATATTATTGTTTTGTATGTGGTATGTGCATTTTTATGCTTTATATTATTATATTTTATTTTTAGCCTTAAGTAAATGAGATTTATATTATATTTGTAGTTATTATTTTTTAGTATAAAAGATATTAGTGGCATATTAACATCATAATGGTTTTTTTAGTATATAGTTATATATGTATTTTAGACTTTAATACTTATT